ATGAGGCTGCTCCTCAAAGACTGTGAAATGCCTGAAGGCTTTCGCGAGCGATTTATTACGTCAGCATACCGACGAGCTTATAGTACACCTTGGGAGTGTGTTAAGAGTTTGTTCTACATTAACAACGAAAGCTTTAACGTTTGGAGTCACATCTTCACCACGGTTTTCTTTGTAATGCGCTATTCGACTCTTCTTGCTCTAACCCAAACGCCTCATCTCTTTGATCCATTTACTTTGCCGCTTTTTGCTTCTGCTATTGGCACGTTTACACTTTATTCCACCAGCTCTATGGCGCATCTTTTCAACTCCATATCTGAACGGGGTTACAAAATTTGCTTTTTCTTTGACTACGCAGCCATCAGCCTGTATACTTTCACATCGGCTCAGGCCGTGTTCTTTTACACTCGTCCAACAAACACCAACTGGATCATCTTTGAGATACCCTCTGTATACATGTCTTTAGCGGCAACTCTTTCCTTCATCGCGACATACAGCACCTGCAAGACTGGAAACAAAGTATTTAAATACGGTAACCTCCTCCGTACAATCTCCTGTCTTGTAGCTTGGTTGAATTGCACCTTACCATTTATAGTTGGCGTGACACTCTGTAGTTGTCACGCTAATAGTAGCACGTCATGCGTGGCCTTCTCTGCATGCAACAGCGCATCTGTTGGTTACTATTTCCGTCACGCTTTTTGCACTGTTGTAGCAGGTCTTATGTACAGTACCAGGTTACCGGAACGCCTTCTTCCAGGACGATTTGATCTGGTCGGTAACAGTCATCATTTTATGCATGTCTTTGTTGCCTTGAGCACAGAATTTGGCCTCAAACTTTTTGAATTTGATATCAAGCATAAGAGGTCCTGGAGACAGCGGGAAGGCGCATGGGCAGACACAACCGCTGACGCATCTTTCATCAACACCGTTGGCGCAGCTGTGATAGTTATGCTTATCAACGCGGGAATTGCATTGTGGTTTTCCAGGTCTCTCAAGAGCAAGGAAAGTGTACATGAGAAGTAGACAACGCAGAGAAATATCGGGCCACAAGCTGGGCCTACACAAGGACAAGCACAGTTGAATTTGGTTTCTGGTGACAAGTGTACTTTCCCCAAAATAGGTACTAGACAATCGCAGGATTATCCTGAGAACAGCTAACATTGACTTGAGGCTGAGCAGGGACTGAATGTTTTAGTTGTGAGAGCAATTTAAGCTTCAAAGACGTTTTAAAGATGCTTTAAAATCCCATGTACGATTCAGTGCAAAGTTTTGCATGTATCTATACCCGTCTCAGATGGCAACTAGACGACTGAAGGTTACTTGACCTTTAAAAAACGTATATAATTGTGGTAGGAAACAGCTAAACGGAAGAAAAATTGAGCAATGTACTACTTAATGAAAGGTGTGATAAATTACTATACGGGACGCTGAACATTTCACGATCGCAATAACTAACTATCACTTTATTTAGTCCATTTCTGTTTCGCTCTTTGAATGAAAACTAGTGCACGCCAGGTCTACGTTATATTAGTAAAATCCAACTAGTGGTCTATTATCAATGCTGCTTTCTGATTGGTTGAGCTACTACTAGGCTATATGTTATAGCCCACTAGTAGCGAAAAGCGGGGGCTTTTTCAGCCTCATGGGCTATTCACTCAGAGCCCATTCGGGCTCGAGGAATAATTGTTAATTAGCCTGCTCCAAGCTTTCAGATCCTGGGGACAGACATGTGAGCAGAAAAAAAAACGCACTCCACTATCACTCCACTATTCGAACGCCTGGAACAGGCTAACGTTATATTTAAAATAAGACTACAATAAATATTAGATAAACAATCGTTTTATTAGATCCGCCGGGAGGAGACATCATATTACATTACTATTTGATGTATGACGTCCATGCTAAGACAGCTCCTAAAAGTCTTCTAGATAAGTTTGCGAAAATCAGTACAAAAAAATCATTTTCTGTCGAGCCGTGTTTTCATGTAAAACATGATCTAAAGTGACCCACTTAAAACTGAAAAAATGAAAAAGTCTTTTACTAGAATTGGTGTGTCTATTTGGAATTCTATTCCACTTTCTGTTAAAACTCTCAATATATCTAATTTTCGTAAAAAAATAAAATCATTATTCCTTCATGTTCTAGATAATGAAAATAATTACAGTTGAATGTTAACCTGATACCAAATTAGTTGTATATACCTCCAGTTGTAATTTGAGTCTATTTTGAAATAACAAACTCCCTGTACTTGAATTGAATATGTAAGGTGTTTCTTTCTTTATGTTATTGTATTTCTTTTCTTTTCCTTTTTCTCTTATGTAATTATATATCGCCATCATTTAACGTTTTGCCCTGCCTACATCAGCATTATAGCTATTTGCGGAGCATAAAGTATTGTAAACTTAAAAGTTATGTAAATAAATACATTGTGGGTGTTGTTAAATTGAAGCTAACCGGCTGTTTGTGTTAAAAGTTTGAAAAAACTGATTAAACATGACCGTAACAATATCTTCGGCGGGGGAGGGGGGGAA